CATCTTTTTAAGTGGGAGAACTTGCACAATTGGTGGCTTACTAAATACTTTTTCCCCCCACTGTATGTATGTATGTATGTATGTATGTATGTGTATGTATGTATGTATGTATGTATGTGTATATAAACAGCTGTGGAAAAAATTAAGAGACCACTGCAAATTGTTCTTAAATCAGCATCTCTACATGTATGACAGCCATTCCATTCCAGTGTCTGTTGAATTCCAACACAGGCACACCTCATTCTACTGAATTAGGTACTGATTAGGTGATCACATGAACCAAATCTTATTTAACGAGGAAAAGTATAGAAACCACTGCTGTGGTCATCACTATCCTCTTGCAATAGGACCAGCTGGATGGCATAAACAGTGCTAATAGTACCTCAGAAGTAATATTAATAAAAAAATAACTATTGACCATGCCAAAAGAGTTGAAAAGGAACGTTTTGAGTGAGGAAAATAAGGGGTCAATTCTGGCTTTACTGGCAGAGGGATACAGTGAGCATCAGGTTGCTTCCATCCTTAAAATTTCAAAGTTGGCGGTTCATAAGAACAAGGTCAAGCAGCAGACATTGGGGACAACAAAGGTACAGACCGGCAGAGGGCGAAAACGACTCTCTACTGACAGGGATGACCGCCAACTTATTCGAATAAGTCAACCGTAGGATGACATCAAGTGACCTACAAAAAGAATGGTAAACGGCAGCTGGAGTGAAGTGCATGGCGAGGACAGTTCAAAACAGGCTCCTAGGGGCAGGGCTGAAGTCGTGCAAAGCTAGAAAAAAGCCCTTCATCAATGAGAAGCAAAGAAGAGCCAGGCTGAGGTTTGCAAAAGACCATAATAATTGGACCGTAGAGGACTGGAGTAAGGTCATCTTCTCTGATGAGTCCAATTTTCAGCTTTGCCCAACACCTGGTCGTCTAATGGTTAGACTGAGACCTGGAGAGGCCTACAAGCCACAGTTTCTCACACCCACTGTGAAATTTGGTGGAGGATCGGTGATGATCTGGGGGTGCTTCAGCAAGGCTGGAATCGGGCAGATATGTCTTTGTGAAGGACGCATGAATCAAGCCATGTACAAGGTTGTCCTGGAAGAAAACGTGCTTCCTTTTGCTCTGACATTGTTCCCCAACTCTGAGGATTGGTTTTTCCAGCAGGACAATGCACCATGCCACACAGCCAGGTCAATCAAGGTGTGGATGGAGGACCACCAGATCAAGATCCTGTCATGGCCAGCCCAATCTCCAGACCTGAACCCCATTGAAAACTTCTGGAATGTGGCCTTTCTCTTGCATTTCAAAGATGATGAAAAAATATATATACAGTATATGAAAACGCATGTTTTTTTGTTTGTATTATCTTTTACCAGATCTAATGTGTTATATTCTCCTACATTAATTTGACATTTCCACAAACTTCAAAGTGTTTCCTTTCAAATGGTATCATGAATATGCATATCCTTGCTTCAGGTCCTGAGCTACAGGCAGTTCGATTTGGGTATGTCATTTTAGGCAAAAATTGAAAAAAAGGGTAATAAGAAATGACTCTCCCTACCACATTCCAATTCAGACATTGATTCTTCAATAAAGTACACTATTCCACTGTAGGCCTACTGACCTAATTACTGTAGACCTGTAAGAAATATAAAGGTTTACTATCGAGTTTTATCCTGTTGTTCTATTAATAAACAGTGGAAATGTTACCCTTCACTACCATGAACACGATAAAAAAAAAAAAAAAAAAATATATATATATATATATATATATATATATATATATATATATAATTTGTGAAACTTTAAATAACAACATGATTTGATTAAAAATACATCACAATCCCAATTTATATAGTTTCAAATGTCAAATGTGTAGCCTACAGTTCAGGAATATTTCCTTTTCCACTCTTGATAAGAAATGGCCATATTTTAATAAGACAAGTAAAATCCTTAAAGGTACAGTCCAGTGAAAAACTACATTTTCCTGTGTTGTATATATATATAATTATATATTTCCACACTATGAGGTTTAGAATAATTCTGTGAAATTGTGAAAATTATGATAATGCCCTTTTAGTGTAAGTGCTGTTTGAAAAGACCACTTGAAATTTCAGCTTGTTTTGGTGGGATGGAGTTTTGGCCTGCCTGGCGACATCACCAAGCGGTATAAGTTAATAGAGCAATAACAAAGAGAGTTTCAAACATCTCTGCCAATAGCAGCTAGTTTTCAGGTTACACATCCCTGCCATTATGGGTGGTCCTCTGTAGCTCAGCTGGTAGAGCACGAAGCTTGTAACGCCAAGGTAGTGGGTTCGATCCCCGGGACCACCCATACACAAAAAAAAATGTATGCACGCATGACTGTAAGTCGCTTTGGATAAAAGCGTCTGCTAAATGGCATATTATATTATTATATTATATTATATATTAGGCTCATCCAATTAGTCCCCTCACTCAGACCACTCCCAGACAGTCCTAGCAAAATTTTCTTTGCTAAGAAGCTATTTTTGTTTCCTATCGACCATTTTAATTTAAAACATTCACAGTACGGTACTTTAATTGTTACCCAGAAATGATTTGATATTGAGTTAAAAATGTCTGCATTGGACCTTAATGCATTACATAAATTGGAAACGAAAATGTAATCCTAAACCATAATTCTTCCATTCATAAATGTGTAGGGTATGGCTACATTGCCATAGTAGATTTGCCGTGGTAAACAAAGAAATGTAATATTTTATTTAAATTGTACAGAATGGTTGCCAAAAAGATAAGTCGTCATTAGTCTGCTCAATTAGAAGGATTAAATTGTTCCGATGATAATACCCATCAGAGTGCGAAATATTCATAAAACATGTTGGCAGCAATCAGGATTAAGAGTAAACCCCGACATCCACTATAGGGAGAGGTAAATCGATGGCCTATAATGGATGCAATTGAGATCAGCTGTTCTGGTGATTGATGGTTTAACGCCAGATCAGATGGCGATAATCTGGTGGCCATGAATGGTTGTAATTGGCCTGCAATGATTGCAATTGGTTTGCACCTGTACATAATGTGGTCCACGTAATGCCCCCAACATTTGAGATTGTAATATTTAGACCTATTCATATGAAATGTTGTCTGGTTTGAATTGTACGTGTTTGGAGAAAAGTGACCAAAATAATTGAATGTGATATTAGGGGTTTCCTGTCATAATTTTCCTAAATCTGTGTCAGAAAAGGTGTTAAAAGAGGGCAAATAGTTTTTAAAACACTTTTTGAATAGGTGGCTCAGCTCTGTCTCAGAATCAAAGCTAATGTTCCTAAATTGTGTTATTGTTATGCTAATGTTCATGTCACATGTCAAGTTGTAGCCTTACAGGCAAATTAGACTTCTTTCCTCATATTTCTCTACCTGTCATGTCAACAATGCTCCTTTTTTTTCCTTTTTTTTTCTTTCTTGCCTTCCAAAAATATAATTCCCTCCTGAGTTAGAATTGTATGAGAGACTTTAGAGAAACTTTGCAGTCATATTTTGAACCTCTGTCATCTTTACAGCTGAACTTTTTGGTCAGTTGCAATTACTCTTCTCCCAAATGAAACTTTCAATGTCCATAATGTTCATAACAACATAACATGGATCAAAAGGGGATCACAATTACGTAGGTAGAACATAATATGATCACGGAAAGCAGTAAGCTCAGACTGCTCAGAATGGCTTGTATCCCATTTCAAATTATACTGAATTGGAACAGCAGTCACTGGAAAACACAGTTCTCCATTACCGTCAGTCTACATCTTTCCTTCAGCAACTGCTCTTGGACAGGTTGATGATTCTTGATGCTTTCAGTATGATCTGAGAGGAAGAGGCGAAGCGAGAGGGTCCACTCACGTCAAAATCGGTCCATGCGGGAATACAGTGATAAGCAGACTGATAAGCAGACCGCCTGCCTTCCCACCTTTGGGACAACGACTCCCATTGTTAGGGCGGAAAAATGAGCATCTCGTCATTATACAGTTTTGATGGTATGATGCTCTACATCACTAGCAGAAAAACGCCATTGAAACATGTTGAAAAGGAGGCAACTTTTTCAGTGGATGTTTTTTTGGCCTCTAGGCCTTTTGAAAGGCAGTAAAGAATATAATCTTGTAAGGTACCTCCTTTGTTCTCTCGAAGACACCGGCGATCAATTGAAAAGAGTCAACAGCAAAGCCACAGCACACAAATCTGCCCCTTTGGTGACCTTTTGTCCACATTGAAAGGTCTCAGGTGTAACTTATTTTATAATCACAATCGGAAAGAGTAATGGGTCTCCAGTTAAGATGAACTGTACCTTGCCCCGTAAGTCATTCTCCTGGTCTACTGGAGTGATATCATTAGATCCAGCGCAGACTTCAACAATGCCACTAATCTACCTGGTGGCAACAGTACCTCAACCCTGACAACAGCACCTTTTCATCTCTCACTCTCTCTTTAACTGAAATCAATACCAGGCACCCTGTCACTTCAGGGAGATGTTGAAAGGGGGCCGGATAGCAGGAAATGGCAGAGAAGCGAAGGCTATATAAACAACAATGGCTACCAACTCCTGCTTTTGTTGATTCTGTTGAAGTCTCTATTTCATATGAACTCACACGCTGAAGGAATGTTTCACACAATATTTATTTGAGAGTAATTTGTGACGGCAAATGGCAGCTGTTCCTTGTGTGATTAGAAAAAGGGCTTGAGGGTCTTTGAAAGAGATCAAAGTCACAGGTGAAATCATTACATGGCAACATTTCCACAAAGGCAGAGGCAATCTAAACTCTGATTGTGCCTTTGTAAATATAATCCAACTCCTTCTGAGCCAAAGACAACACTGCATGGAGGATTACTGATTTTGTTGACTTTTGAGATATTTTTGCCCACATCCTTGCAGTTTGGCTGGAGCAGAGGGCTTAAGATGTGATGGATATATGGATGATCCTGTTAGAAATGTGACCTCTGTGGAACAAAGGAATGGGGATAGAGGACTAAATCATTTAGAGCACGTGGTACTGCTGCTTGGGGACCTTGAGGACTGAGGGGAAGATTCAAAATGATTGAAATCTCATTTGTTTTTTTCACTCTGATGGAGTAAACCCTGCTCTATGGTTCGTTCACCAATGTTTATTTCTGGAACAAACAACAAAAGAAAGTGAGTGGCCAAGCTAAGATGCGACCTGACATAAATACCAAGCCTGCAAAGATACGGCATGCTCTATGTAAGTAAAGGTCACTGAAGTTGTATGCCGACATATTTTTAAGAGCAACGACAACCACGAGACACCTCAGGTGTTAAACTTGTCATTAGGATGTTGTGTTATGCATTTCACTTAGGTAGAGCGGTATCATAGCAACAACAGCTGCAGGAAGAGTGTCAAAGGCAAGTTGTCAACACTAAATCTGGAAAAACAGGTCACAGCGACCAGCAGCATTCTCAAAATGACAAAACAAAGTTGAGGGTGCCTAAAATAGTCACTTTGGTGCTAGGCAACATTATAGAAAGGATACACATTTCTGTCACAACTAGTGCAAAATGCCAATTTCAGCCTTTATAAGTTGTAGGGGTGTAACGATCCATCTACTACATCGATGTATCGATTTATATTCGTATGATCCAACTACATCGATCTGTGCTCGGCGAGTTGGCCTTTTGGACAACATATATCAATCTAACATCGTTTTAAAATGTAATAAATCGATTGTATCGATACTAGGAAATAACCCATTGGATTTAAGCACGTCAGACTTTATATGGATGTTTTTTCTTAGCACTTTTAATGATAAAGGCTTTAAACATTACTCGATTCAGTCTGCCTATCCGTGACGTCATCGCCCCGCGCCAGCAGCAGCGCAAAAGCGCAAAGACAACAAAACATAGCATGGCGGACGACAGAGGAGAAGCCGACGAGCGAGAAATTATCAAGCCACTATTGCAGTCCTTACAAGAAAAAGGAATCTAGGAAACTTCACCTGCACTGTCCAGTATCCAGGTATTTATTTCAGTCACACTGGTTGAATTTTTGGCTAAAAGGTTACTGAATCGATTTCAAGTCACTGAATCGTTTCGGATCGTATCGTTCTAAATGAACCAATATCGCCCTTGAATCGTATCGACAACCACGAATCGTGATACAAATCGAATCGTTGTTAAAACGAATCGTTAAACCCCTAATAAGTTGAGAAGTTTTGATCCAGGAGGGCTTTTGTTAATCATCTTTGCACAAAGGGAGAGAAGGTATTGTAACTTGATAGAACGTCCAAAGTAATATAAGCTCAATGGAATCCCCACAGAGAGAGACAATTCTCTGTGCAGCCAGTAGCTGCTTTCCAATCCTCCCCAGACAGCAACCAGGTCAAGAACAGCAGGTGATGAAATGCAATGCAACATTCCATTCCCATACGAGATGCCTAAACCACCTCAACAGAGATAACGGAGTAATCCACAACATCAGAAATGGTCCTGGGGATACACAGGGGGTGGTGGCCCAAAGAGGCCCTCGAGGGGAGCTTTCTAAGCCCCTCTCAATCCCTCTGCTTGGGGGGCTCTCTCTGAAAGTGAAGGATGGAGGTGGCTCTTGGCTCTTACCGTCTACACAAGCCGGTCTGGCTCTTGTGGTGCCGGCAATCTGTCCCTTCTTGCAGGCACACCTCGCCGTCTGTCGTGCTATGGTCCGCCGCGGCTGACTGCTGTCCCGGTCCAGAGTGACAATCTCACACGTACCCGCTGCCAACTGACCTGAAGATAGGAAGAAGAAGAGGAAATGATGTCAGACAGATAACAAGGGGAAGTGAACGCTATTCCACATGGCAGAATGACCATTTAGAGGGACATACTGCACTTCCAGTGCTTAGACACATTGTGGTGAAAGGTCCCATTGAATGGATACATTTAGCAAAACTAGAACATTGATCAATCAATCATTCACCACCAATCATAACCAATCACAAAGGACCAGTGTCCTTCTCCATTACCATTCCCCTCACATCCTATAGGCTAACATCATCTCTGACACATTGGAGGCTGCTTAGTGGAGGACGGCTCATAATAATGCTGGAACGGAGTAAATGGAATGGCATCAAACCATGTGTTTGATCTCCTGAGTGGCGCAGTGGTCTAAGGCACTGCATCGCAGTGCTAACTGTGCCACTAGATTACTGCCAATACTGTTTTCTATGCTTGTTTTCGCTTAATACTTTGGGATACTGGTGCACTTGTAGTCAGAAAGTCCCTTTTTTCGTGTGGGCCTATGCCTACACAATGTTCTTCATAATGCAGTTCATATTTTGTGGAGCCCACATTGCACAATTTCCTTTCATAATGCATTTTATACAAGGCTATGACGAATTTTATGGTTCGAATCCAGGCTCTGTCGCAGCCGGCCGCGACCGGGAGACTCATGGGCGGCGCACAATTGGCCCAGTGTAGGGGAGGGAATGGCCGGCAGGGATGTAGCTCAGTTGATAGAGCATGGCGTTTGCAATGCCAGGGTTGTGGGTTCGATTCCCACGGGGTGCCAGTATAAAAAATAAAAAAATGTATTCACTAACTGTAAGTCGCTCTGGATAAGAGCGTCTGCTAAATGACTAAAATGTAAAAATGTAAATGTATTTGATACAATTCCACATATTCTGCTCCAGCCATTACCAGGAGCCTGTCCTTCCCAATTAAGGTGTCACCAACCTCCTGTGCTTTGACACCATCACACATGTGATAAAACGGTCTCTAGAGGTCTCCTTATCCACGTATACCTCCCAGTCATATTTCAGTGTTCATTTCCCTTCCTCAGTGAATGGATGAGGTGGGACAGTGGTTTGGTTGGACACCAGAGTTGTTGATGTATCTAAGTCCTGGGACCTTTTGACCTAGCTCCTGATTGGAGATTAACCTGTGTGATTGGACTAGCCCTGGGGTCTTCTCCATAGGGACTCAGTGGGCTCTCAGAGTCAGCGGTTGTAATTTGCAAGCAGCGTTGTGTGGTGATTTAATCTGGCCCCAAGTCACAGTGTAGAGGTTCTGGGGAGTTAATTAAGTTTACTGCAGGGACACATCCAGAGTAATGGTGGGCTGTCGGATAGTGATTCAGAGAGAAATGTTCCAGCCTCTCACAGGGTTCCCAGTTAAAACAGCGATGGGGAGAAGCACAACACATCTGCTCTCTGGTGTAACCGCAGCGGGTAGCCTAGTGGGTAAGAACGTTGCGTCAGTAACTGGAAGGTCACTGGTTTGAATCCCCAAGCTGACTAGGTGAGAAAACTGTCTATGTGTCCTTGAGCAAATCACTTAACCCTAATTGCACCTATAAGTTGCTCTGGATAAGAGCATCTGCTAAAAGACTAAAATGTTTGTGAGTAATATTAATGTCAGGATAAATACTAGGATATTAATACATTTGAATTAGACTTCCTGCCCTCCATCCAATTATTTCCATAGTAATGCAGGTCACACCCTTTGAGAAGGCATGACAGTTCTGAAACATTACACTTGACTTATTCCACACCTGTTAGTGCCATATTCCTTATAGATCAGTTACTTTGTAGTTGTATTACATTTAGATTGAAATAACTGAATATGCAGATTCACTGGTATATGCAGATTCACTCCATCAGTACAGTAACTATAGCATTGAAGAAATCACTGTCATATGTTATACTGTATACACAACAGTGCACTGTCAATGCACAACCATTGGGCCACTTGAGCTATATCCATAGGCCCGGAGAAACAGTGAAGGTCACAATCCAATCCCACGTTCCTACATACTGTTAGACATGCCCCGTGACATAAGGAACAATCCGCCGTGCTCCACATGTACCTCATATTCCACCTGAAAGATAGATGGAGTCCCATCACTCATGACAAGCGAGGCATGAACGTTAACCCGATAGAATGGTCCATGCTATCCGGGATCCTTGGGATGTCCCTACCCCATTGAAGTTGAAATATAAAATGGTAAAGGTAAGGGTTAAGGTTAGGGTTGGGTAAAAGTTATGGTTAGGGTTAAGGTTAGGGTAGGGACGTCCCAAGGATCCCGGATAGCACTGACCCCGTTAGAATTGGCCCTACCTGTACAGTAGGTAGCTTTAAGGAGAGAAAGCGAAGGTCCAAGTCTGCCATAAATATACATTATGCTGCCATAAAATAGGCCTGTCACATTAATGATGGCTAGATGAAGATGTATGTGCAGAGGGGGTAAATAAACGCTCCATCAAAAGCTAAAAGATGGAGACGGATTAGCAGTCTCTACTGTATAACTACATCATCAATATGATTATTGACATCTCACTCAAGCGCTTTCTGGGTTTTTGTACATTCCCTGCCTTGCTCAGCTTCATTTGGATTGATTTGCTGACTGGAAATGAAACTCCAAAATGGACATGGCATCTTGTCTGTGAAAACGTTTTATTCTGCATAATGTTTCTCCTTTTCAAGCATGCCAAGAAACAACCTTCAGCAATAAAATCAAACATTTTTCCCAGCAGATTCTTTCCTTTAGTATCACAGTACGCCTATCTAAAAAAAGGGGTTGGTTTGTCCTTCGCTGTTCAAGTTGAGGTAAAGCAAACATACTTTTGTAAGCTATCTCTTGTTAGGTCTGTGACATATTCTTTGTGAGGAAGAGTTGAGTAAAATACTGCTCCCATTTTAACTCTACCTTATTCATCTGCTAAATCATAGACAACAAAAGGCCATTATCTTCTTCACATTTATATGAATAGAAAACCTTCTGGATTAACTGGATTCAATATTGCTCAACATTCGCTATCACATCATGGTCACCTTAGATCTAATGAGTGCCTTACATTTATTTGTGAATGATCATATCACCATCTATCACATGCTTGCTTTCCAGAGGTAGAACATTCTCAAAAGAGGCTACTGAAAGTAAGATACGGCACACTGCGATTCAGCTACAGGGAAAAGTATGTCATTCTAATCATTCCATGCTTCAATCTGTTTTCCATTGTTGCTGTCTATTTTCTGTCCTGCGCCTGCTGAGCTTGAATGGATGTGAGAGTGCTCACCTCAACAAACATTGTTAAACACAAAGGACATTTATTTTATCATCGCGTACTGTAGGTCATAGCCAGTCACAAGTCCAATGTTAAATAATGCTTCATTCACTACTGCGTATGTCCACAATGGTGCATAATGTCAATAACAAGTTGTACATACTGTAATCATATGAATCCCAAAACCCAACAGATAAACTTCCTGTTGGTGTTCATCCAAAATACTTCCCCTGTCTTCGTTTGCCTCGTCAACCATTGGTCTGAGCTATCCGGAATCCTTGCGAGGTCCTTACCCATTGAAGTTGAAATGTAAAATGTAAGGGTTAAGGTTAGGTAAGGGTTATGGTTAAGGTTAGGGTAAAGGTAGGAGTTAAGGTTAGGGTAGGGACGTCCCAAGGATCCCGGATAGCACTGACCATCAACCATTCTGCTGAATCCAAGGCAGAGTTTAGTACTCGTCATAATTCAACCCATCATAATTCAGCCTACATTTACAACAGTGAATACATATTACACCTCTGTCAGAGCTGCCAAAGAAAACCTTTGTCTGGATGAGCCTTGTTGCAACTGTTCTCATCAGAAAACTGAAACTTTTAATATAATCTATTTCAGGCAGATGAGTTGCTTGAGCACTTCAGTGATTATTGGAAGATTTTCAAGAGGTGATTTGATTCTCTCTCCTCTCCCTTTCACCTCGTCCAAATAACTCTCAAAGTTATTTCAATGTTCACTCTCTTCCAATGTTACCTTCTTAATAACTTTGCAGCCTTTTGACATAAAACATTTCTAAACGCCCATGTCGTAAGTCTTGGTATGCTACCATTGTTCAGAAGTTGTGTAGGTGAGTGTGCAGCTAACCCATAAGGCCCAAGCTGTACCTTTTAATTACATATCAAGTACATTTTCCATTAGAACCAAGGTGGCTTGTTGTACTGCATGACCTTAGATATTTATCTTTTGTCACGGGAAAATCTGCTATTTTTCCACATTATGTGCAGTAATTATTTTTCTCTCGTTTGGCCTATTATGTTTCCATGTCAAGAAACAGCTAGAAACACCATTAAAGAGGGAAGATGAAGAACGATAAGTGAACCCTCATCTTTATGCAAAGTGCTGTGTTTTAATGGAATGTATTCAAAACCCCTACGAGATCCGCTTATACTCCACAGGGTCTAAATACTGAATATTTTCCCCCTCGTTACACACTTCCCCATCCCCCTCCATGAGAAACCAGAAATGTTGTTGGCTTTTTTCCACCACCTTATTTGGACCCTGGGGAACCCTGAGGGGTATACGATATACTGTACGTAGTTAGATGTACCCAGGCTTTTAAAAAATGTGCTAGCTTCAGTTAGTTTCACATTCCAGGACAGGCTTCATCCGTACCACAATGGTGGATATTGCTCGTCCGTCTGCCGCTAACTCTAACAGGCTTGTAACTGATCGTGCATGTTGCACGTGGCTAGTCGAACTCCGAACTCTTCATTGAGACAATGCTGAAACATCAATCAATGAGCGAGTCAGTGCCACATTAACATTTTAGCCAAAATCAACATGAAATTAAAGTTATCTTGTAAATTCAGCAGCCTGTGATGTGAAATAGGCTTTTAGAAGTGCCGTCTTTCTTTTACTACGTATAGTTAATGCCGTCTTTGACGTGCTTTAGTGTGCTTATCAATGAACACAGCACCTTTTTCCCCACTCCTATCGATAAAATATTTTTATAATGTCATTTAAACGTTTTACTGTACGTGAACTTTAAAATGCATCCTGTCACTACAAAATATGTATTGTGATATGTATTTTAATGTATTTTTGTTTTAAAAAATACATTTGATTAATAAAATATTTTAAATTGGTTGTCTCCTCAAATGAAGGGGATGATGACAGAATATTTGCGAGAGGGAGGGAATCTGATTTAACTGGTCCTCAACTCGTGGCTCAGACACTTCATTTAGGATAAATTGAGTTAACTCTGAGTTAGCCTGCTCCAGAGCAGGATAGTTCTGAAGCATTCGTTGCCATAGAAATTAATCTGGCTAACAGATGAGCCACTTTTGTGTGATACCGGTTATCCTGACTTGAACTCAAGAGTTGACCAAAGTTACCTCGGTAACTCCTCAAACCAGGTACGTAGTATACCCCTCTGGTCTCGCTGCAGAGAAACACTGCCGTTTGTCTGTGGTCCTTTGCTGCATATAGGCCATAATTGTTGGGGCCTGGTAGAAATTGGAGTAGGGAGAGTCCATGGGGCCATTCATAGGAGTTCATCAGCATGCGAGAGGGCACCCGCGGTCACTGCAGTGACTGAATGCAGACTTCCCAACGCGTAGGCTTTAATCTCTCCCCTCTCGCCTTCATCCATTCATTCAGCCTCAGACATGGTGCTGTGGATCAGCTGTATGGTAAATATTCTCACACACATCCTCTCTCTTTCCCTCTTTTTCTCTGATCCATTCCTCTGTAACTTTCCACACCTTGTCTTAGTACTATCTCCCCCTGTGTGACTTTCCCTGTCTTTTCTTTCCTCTCAGGGTTCGATTCCTTTTCCCTGATCTCAATCCCTGACTTCTTTCTACCCTCAGAAAATGCTTGATCAAAGGTGCTCCGACATAGGATAGCAAAAATAACTCTGGATAGGAAAATCACAGTGCAAAGCAGTAAGATACCAAAGCGCAGTACTGCATAATAATTTCATATGCAGAGCATTTCAACATCATTTGGTGAGCAAAACTCTGACCTTGAATAGGCACTTTAAGAAAATTGCTTAGGACGTCTTATTTCAAACATGTAAGATGTTCAACATGTATTATTTCTCTCATGGCATTGGTGAAAAGAGATGCTTACCCAATCCAAGCCCTTAATATGTCCCTATTGTACAGTTTATGTACTTAAGAAGCAAAATTATTCCTTATTAAATATGGCAAACACTCAGTTGTTGACTCTCTTCTACGGGAAACAAAAAGCTGGTTTTGTTCTTAAGTAGAAGTAGAAATCAAGGACCATGTTGTTTGGAAGGAAAAATGAGCCTCATCCATTTAGCTTATCAAACAGACACTAATCCACCCAAACGTCTTTTAGTGATAAGGCTGAGCCCTACTAAGTACCCCTAAATCGTGATGGGCGACAACGGCAGCATTGACAAGATAAACGTGTCTTGGGTGTGTGTACGTACCGAGTGACAGTGCAACTGCTTGCTACATCAACCACCACTCTCCACTTCAGTTAGTCCTTCGTTTTTATGGCTGTCAAACTGACAACTGTGTCATCCAGAAGAGGCTTTTGCCCCTGACAATGTCATGTTATTCAAAACCCCTCTTTTACAACAAAGACGAGTCAGTGTGAAAAGCCGTCTTACTGTTAAAGGACGAATGCTACCCATTCAAACATTATATTTCCTTGATAGGGAGCTAATTTATTTCTGATCTAATGTAAAGTGCTTACTGAAATAGTCAAGGACAATGATATGAAATGGAGGTACAGACAGAATCTACATGCTA